AAGGGTGTGGGTGTGAGTGTGGGTGTTGGGTGTGGGTGGGTGTGGGGGTGGGAGTATGGGTGTGGGTATGGATAGAGATAAGAGTCACATCCACACCCACACCCTCAACAGTTTCTCATGACAATTCCTGCTTATTTTCATGATTTCTTGGTACTTGAAGAGCTAGTCTTTTCTCCACTAGATGAAGATCTCTTGCAATTTGGTTTTGCTTCCAAATTTTCAGTCATTGAAGTCGATGATGACGGAAGGGATTCCGGAACTTCGCCAATTATTGGCGAAATTCCACGGAATGTATTGGCGAGAGTTCAATGGATCTTCGCCAATTAGTGACTGTCCAACAGGTATATTGGTGAATGTCTACTGAACTTTCACCAATTGGCGAATTTCCAAGAGATATACCGACGAATATCCAGTACGTATACTGACGAGAGTCGAATAGATTTTTATTCGTTGAAGTGAGACATTCATATTCTGCATGATATATGGAAATCACACTTAGTATTATATAAATGTACTGTGAATCATTCGGATGTGGGTGTGGATCTCTATTGAAATAAGAGTCCCACACCCACAATTTTCTGAGCGTGTATTTGTTACTTATCCCTCCGATCAGGATCAATATCATTTTTCAATCGCCTAATATCTGAAGGATTTACCGGCACAAGCCCAGTGGAAATTCGCCAATTGACTAAATTGAGGACAGTAAACTGGCGAAAGATCAATGGGCACTCGCCAATTGGCGAATGTCAGGAAGGTACATTGGCGAAAGTACAGTGAACTTTCGCCAATGGTGAAAGTCCAAATTGCGAAAGTCTTATTGGTGAACTTCCGGTAACCCATAAAAAGATTCATTTAATCAAATTAAAACATGAATTTATTGAATATCGCTAAACATTTTGTTTACATAACTCAAACTGAATATGGATATGAACATTCTGCTATTACTACTGATGAAATTTGTGCTTACAAGCAGTTGTTCGAGGTTCTGAAGTCATTCAAAGATAGCTATTTTAGTGAAATTCATACTTATGATACTCTCGAATTAGCTGATGAATATGATGAATTAACTGATGACGAAGAAACAACCGATCAAGAAGAAGATAGTGATAGTGAAGCTGATGATTATAATGAGAATGAACACTGATATAAAAAAATCATTTTACATTAGAAGAAATGGAAAATATAATTGAACGGGTTGATAAACATCCAAGTGCTAGATTTACAACTATTTCTCATCGATTTCGGAAAATCAAATCCATGAAGTATATATTAAGGTTTAGAAAATACATTGAAAATACCGGCACCAAATTAGAAAAATTAAAACAGATAAAGGAATTTATGTTTAATGAATTTTATTTGAAAAGAACAATTAAAAAGAAGCTGTTCATGATGATGATCTAGAACTCTACGCAATTCAAAAAGCAAGAGAATTAGATTGGGATACATTCAAGGCAAGCAAATCCTTTATCAATACTTTTAAAAAAGAAAATGGTATATCATCGCGACGGTACAGTAAACTCATTACTCGAGTTAGATCGAATAGAAAAGTCTGCAGCTTAAATAGTAATTAAACTTTTACTTGCTGTGGAAAAATATGCACTATCTAATTTACAAAATATTTTAGATGCTCGAAATGGGATCGAAAGTAAAAGAACATTGATATCAAAGTATTCTTCTGATCAAATTTTAAATAGCGATGATTGTTCATTTCAAAAAGAATATGTCTCTACACAAACTCTTTCTTTCACTGGTGAAAGAACAACAGAAGTGGCTATTAAAAGAAAGCACAATGTCACTCATTCGTATACAGTGCAACCTGTTACATCAGCTGCTGGTCGATTACTGAACAAATTCTTACTTGTTCTTCAGGAAAGAGAAGATGAATTTGGCAGTATAGTGGTAAAAAACATGATTATTCCACCAAATGTTATAGTACAAGCATCAAAATTCGGAAAAATCACTGCTGCAAACCATTATATATTTTTAAATGATGTACTACGTCCTTGTGTACATAAAAAATTTCTTCTCTTCCTTGATTCTTGGACAATTCAAACTGATCAAAATAAATTTCGAAAAGTATTTCCACATCAAGACAGTCAACTATTGATTTTTCCCAAAGGATCAACCGGTCATATTCAACCTCAAGATTTATCATTACTTCGTTCATGGCGATATTTCCACAAGAAAATCGAACACTATACTCATATCAATCGAACACAAATGAATTTAAGTGATCGACAATATTTTATCAACGTACATTCAGTCATTCATAATCAACTATCAGCTCCACAATTCGAAAACCTCATTAAGAGTGGATTTATACAAGCTCGAATAACTAATGAAACAATTGGACAGATCGAAAAACCAAAAGACATTTGTTTCAAATTTTATGATTTATACTGTCCATCCCAAGATTTGTGATGAACGAACATTATTAAAATGTACTTGGGGCAAAAATATTTTATGCTATTATCATTTGATTGAAGATTTACATCTACATTTATAGTATATCTATTGAATTAATGTATTCTATAACCTATTTTTTTTCATTTCGAATAAAATAAGAACTATAGATGGACTGAAATTTTCAATAACTATTATCTGATATCTATCTATACTGATATGATTCAAGCTCCAGAAGAGGCTAAAGCCAACGTCATCTAACTGTTATTGATATGCTTTAAAAAGATTCTCGAAGCCTATCATTACAGTATTCCGTTGATTCTATGAAAAATCGATACAAAATAATCTTATTGTTGCTTTGTACACAAAAAAATGACTACCGTAAAAATTGAATATCTCTCTTAAGACAGGCCAAGGGCAGCCTATATTTTAGCCTTGCTAGTTTGGCACTGAGAGCTTTCATTTGACGCTAATAGATTGCATTTTTCTCTGGGACAGCACAAACACCTCCATTGTGAGAAGAAAAGTCCTCCAGCTGCGTCTGAACTATTTCAAGATGTCCTTGCACTTCGGAATGTCTAGCATGTTTGCCTATTTAACCTGTCCAAATTAGTTCCTAGAAAAGAAAAAAGAGTACTAAAAATAAAAATCGCGTCTTTCATTCCTGGTACTTACAGTACCCGACAAAAGTATCCCCCCCATTGGATCTCAGTCACA